CCATGCCCCGCCGCTGGCCGCGCCGCCTGCCACGCCGTCTCAGCCAGGGCCCCCCTTTCTCCCCCTCAGAGCAGAGAGAGGGGCCGTCTCCAGCGGGGCCCACGCTGACGGAGGGGAGCCGCCCCCCGGGCATTCCCAGCAAAGCCCTCCTGACAGAAACTTTGCTGCAGGGAAATGAGGCGGAGAAACAGAAGTGAGTGGGGGTCACCACGGGCGCCCACAGCTGGCTGGGGAGGGGGCTGGCAAAATCCCCCTGCCCGGGGCCCTCGGGCCCATCTGCGTGCAGGCCCGGACGTCCGCCCTACGGCAGCAGCACAGTGGCCCGCCCTGGGCAAGACACTTCATTTTCCTGTGCCTCAGTTTCCCCATCTGGAAAGTGGGCCAAGTGAGAGTGTGTGATACAGGGTTCTCCAGAGAAACAGAACCGGTAGAATTTCTTTTTAATGAGTAGAGACCTGTTTCAAGAATTTAGGTCACGTGACTGTGTCTGTGTCCAACCGCACAGGCCAGCGGCCCGGCAAGGGGCCACTGCCATCCTGAGACAGTCTCTTCGTCCTCCCTGTAGCCGTGAGGCCTGCAGCTGGTTAGACGAGGCCCACCCAGCGGTGGCGAGTCTGTTCCTCCGCGGGCGACTGCCTGAAGGGCGACCGGCTGTAGGTGGCCACGCGGTACAGGCGGCACCAGCAGCACCCAGCCGCTGTGTGGCTGGACAGCGGGCGCTGGCACCTGAACGGGCAGGCGTGCGACACTGACCGTCACGGGCAGGGTCGCCCGGGCCTGCGGCCGGCCCGCTGACGTCTGTCCAGCTTAGCCCCGCACGCACGGGAGGACGGTGGGTGGACGGCCGTTCCCTTGGCAGGAGGCGCGCCCCCGAGTTCCGGGGTGCTCCCGTGGCGCACTGTGGTGCCCTTCTCATGTCCCCTCATTCCTCCTGCGTGTTTTCGGAGCCGCCTGCGTCCGTGCGGCAGGCTCCGCTGAGGGACGCGGGAGTAAGGGACAGGGACTGGAGTTTACTCCGCGGAAGACACCAACGAGGAAGATGAGCGGTGTGCTGGCTGACAGCTACGAAGAAAAATAGGCGAGGGAGAGGGCTTGGGGGGCTGGGGGCTGAGTAGGGCGTGAGGCTTCATGAGAAGGTGAGCGCAGCCCAGGGGGTGAGGGAGGGAGTCTGGCCAGGCTGCTGGAAGGCTGGGACGGCCCACGCAGAGGCAGGCCCGGTGCCGGAGGCCGGCGGTCAGTGAGGCGAGCAAGGGTGAGGCCGGGCGTTGCCTGGAGGCTCCGCAGTGCAGCTCTGGCCCCCAGCCCCCCCGCCCCCCCCTCTGCTGAGAGACTTTCATCTCGTCTGGGCTGGTAACCGAAGTCCTGACAGGGCGGAGAGAAGATTCCGCCCCAGGGACCGGACAGCGCTGACAGTGAAGGAGCTCGAGGCAGGGAGTTCGCCCTCCCAAAGCCGTTTCGCAGATGAGGAAACTGAGGCCGAGAGGCGAGGTTGCTGGCCGCTGGAGGCCAGTCATGATGGAGTCTCACAGTCAGCAAAACAGTGGGGCGGCCAAGTGCCCGAATGTGCTTAGGGGACCCCTTAAAAAGACAGAGGAGGGGCGCAGGCGCGGAGGGAGGGGCCAGACCCCACCTGAGGCCCAACACAGCTCCTCTGCGCTGGCCTCTCCACAGGGGCCTTCAGGAAGTACAGCTCACTCTGGCGGCCAGACTGGGGGAGGCGGAGGAGAAGATCAAAGTCCTACATTCAGGTAAGCGCCTGGCGCGTGCCTCCCCGCCCCATCAGACCAGCCGGAGGACCGGAGGGCACCGTGACACTATGAACTTGGGCGCAGGTACTCTAGAATCTCAGGGGGCACGAAAGGCGTTTGGGGGGAGGAGGAAGGACCCACGGGACTCGGCTGGGGTCCGACCCCAGCCTCGAGACCAGAGGGCTGAGAGGTCTGCGTAGGAGTAAAGCGGGTGGAAGATGGCGCCGCAGGGGCCGCTAGGAGGCAGCAGGGGAGGTGGGGCCTGGGGCGCAGCGAGCGTCCGACCAGCACCTTCAGTTCTCCTTGGGAAATCAGCAGTTCCTTGAGGAACCGCTCGCTCGCTCGCTCGAGGACTTGTGTCCGCTGCTTCTTGCTGTGCGCCACCCGCCAGGCCTCAGGGTAGGAGAGCTTCTGCATAGAAGCCCCTCCCAGATCCTGGCTACTGAGGTGTGGGGGGCTCCACGCCGCCCGGCAGGCAGCCCCCTCAGGCTCAGGGCCCTCCGGCCCTTCCAGACGCCGCCCCCCACCGGGACCCTGGGCCCAGCCGCTCCCCTCCCTCCCAGCAGAAGCGCCCCGTGGCCAGTTCCCCCGGCAAGGTCTTTCCTCGCTGCTCTGCGCTTCACGCTGCTGCCCAGGCCTGCGCAGGGGCAGGTTCCTCTGGGGGTGCCGGTCTTCATTCTGGCTCTTTCCCTCTTCTAGCGTTAAAGGCCACGCAGACCGAGCTGCTGGAGCTGCGCCGGAAATACGATGAGGAAGCGGCATCCAAGTAAATGCATGTCCCACGAGGAGCCCCACTCCTGCTGCCTCCCGGCCCCCAGGCGTCTCCTCCTGCGCCCTTCTTCCTCTGGCTCTCTGCTGGGGACCCCCTTATGCTCCCCACCCGCGTGGGCGCAGCAGCTCACCAGTCCTCTGCTGTGCCAGCCTTCCGTTCATGCGCCGCAGGCTGTGGGCTGCAGGGCCTCCTCCTCACCCCCGTCCTGCAACTCTCCAGCTCCCGGCTCCACAGTCCAGTCCAGACCCAGCCTCTCTTAGACTGTAGGATACCGCTCACCCAGCACCTCCTGTCTCCCCCAGTGCCGTGCTGGCCCTGGAGCGCACCGCCGTCCCTGGTCAGTCGGGGTGGGAACGTTCAGTGATACATTCATCCCCTCAGACATTCTTGAGGCGTGCTCTTCGCTGCCCAGCCCTGTGTGGGCACCAGGGAACGGCCATGAAGGGGAGGTTAGGGGGCCGTGAGCTAGAGTGACAAGAAGAGGGGGGTCCGGTTATCCTGGGTAGTCAGGGAGGGCTTCCCTGAGGAGGTGACCTAGAGAATGAGACCCAAAAGAAGAGTAAGTGTCCACATGACGAAGACCAGGCAGTGGGGACGGCTTGTGCAGAAGGCAGTCCTGTGCATGCAGCTCACTGCCACCGCATGGTCCCCAGTCACCCCCGCAGGGCAGAGGGGAGGCCCTTAGGTGCTGGTGACCAGGGTGAGCCAGTAGGGAAGGGCCCCTCGGAAGGCACCCGGAGCTGGGGCTCAAAGCTTGGGGTACGCCAGGCAGAAGTAGAGCAGGGCCCAGGGCTGGGGGGCATCGCTGTGGGCAGCTGCGAAGAGTGCGCCCCGGGGGGAAGGGGAGCAGCTGCTGGAGGGCATGCCGTGCTGGGTCCCCTTGCCCTTCCCTGCAGCCTGGGTTCTCCCACCCCGTCTGGCTTCTCCCGTAGGAAGGGTGACGGCACCCGGCACAGACCGGGCGCTGCGTGGGGTCCGCGGGCTGGGGTCCCCGCTCAGGGCCCGTCTTTCTGTCTCAGGGCAGATGAAGTCGGCCTGATCATGACCAACCTGGAGAAAGCTAATCAGGTGAGAAGTCGCGGTCTGGGCTGGCGGGAGCGAGGGCTCAGCCCACGCCCGCGTCCCGTGGTGTCTGTCAGCTCGGCGCTGGCGAAGCCGCCCGGAGGCGCCTGGGGAAACTCGCTTCTGATTTGGGAGCGGAGCCCCACCCCTCTGCAGTGGCTGTGCTCCATCGCCCCCTTTTCACCAGGGGGACCTGAGCCCGGGAGGGGCAGGAAGGTGCCCGGGCCGCAGCAGCGGGAGGGCAGCAGGTCACTCTGCGGACGCCCCGGGAGCCTGGCGCTGGGCACGAGCTCTGGCCTGAGTTTACTGGCAGCCAGGAGCAGCCTGGAGACTGAAAACGCCAGAGCCATGGAGACACCGCTCCCCTCCGCCCTGGCGAAGTGGGAAGCTTGGACGCCTCTTGGGGTCCCGAGCAGAGCTGGGAACTCGGCTCCCGGGAGCAGGCAGTGTCCCCGCCACCCCGGCAGACCCAGAGGGGGCCTCTGCCGCTTGGCGCCAGCCCAGGGCTCTGTGCTGCTCTTCCCAGCCGCAGCGCCGGGCCCGGGCTCAGAGAGTTGGGCCGTGGGCAGCCCTCTCCCGCCGCCCGGCCTGAGCCGGCACAGCGGAGCCAGGGCAGTCCGGTGCAGCGCTGTCCGCCCTGACGGCTCCCGCCACTCTCCCCAGCGGGCGGAGGCTGCCCAGCGCGAGGTGGAGAGTCTGCGCGAACAGCTCGCCTCTGTCAACAGCTCCATCCGCCTGGCCTGCTGCTCGCCCCAGGGGCCCAGCGGGGTAAGTACAGGGGAGACGGGAAGGCGGGACCAGCCACGCTGCGGGCATGCATGTGCGGGTGACCGCCGGGCCTGGCAGAGCCTGCGGGGCCTGTCGCCGGAGCATCTTCACGGCCGAGGGCAGCGCGCAGCAAAGCGGCGACTGGCTCCACATCAGGGCCAAACAGCCAGAAAGCTTGACTTGATGAACTCCAGCGCCCTGTATAGAGGGACGTGTGGCACAGTCCTCCGGGCCGGGCGCCGTTGCCCGAGAATGCCAGGGAGTTGCTCGGCGCCGGTCACGCCTGCGGCCAGATGGGCTGAGCCGCCGCGCAGCTCGGCAGCCTCCGGATGCCGCTGTGGCCCGCCGGCAGTGGGGTTTGCGGAGCTGCGGCCTGTGAGCCGCCCGGCCACCCTGGCTTCCTGCGCTGGTCTTGTCAGCTGGTGCAGCTTGGCTTCTCCTGGTGGCTCCGGGTCGCTCCCTACGGGGATCTCACTCCTGCACCGAGTCTGTCTCAGGGTAAAGCTCCCCGCCCAGAGTCGGGGGCTCCTTGCGGGGAGTGTTCTGCCTTCTTTTTTTTTTTAGATTTATTTATTTATTCGTACAGAACTGGGGTACAGGCCAGAGGCTCAGGGACGGTGAGAGGCTTCACCAGAGACAGAGTGGGGAGCAGAACAGGCAGACTGACGAAGTCCACTGCTGAGGGGAGCAGCGGGCGGGTCAGGAGAGGTCTGCCGCGCCCTGGGGTCTCCTCCGGGGCAGGCGGGGATCGAACTCATGCGGAAGTGGCTTCAGATTCTCAGTGCTGTGCTTTAACCCGCTGCGCCACCAGGGAGGGCCCGTGTTCTGCCTTCTTTCCAGGGCTCCGCGGACCAGGGTTCACCCCTGGCCTCCCCCAATCACAGCCCCAGGCTGTTCCATTCCCACCCACGCCCCTGACCGCCGCCTTCTCTGCTCACACTGTGAACACGTCTCCGGGAACGCGAATCAGCGTGCTCACGTGTCCGTGTGGGCACGTGACTGCATCCTTCATCTCGCTGCACCTCAGTTTCCTCATCTGTACCAGTTACACTTACCTCACAGGCTGTTGAGGGCGTAATGCAGAAAGTACCTGAAATGGCTCCTAACCTGTGGCCAGCAACCATTCACGCTTGCCTGTTGTTTTTATCGTGAGCGTAGCGGAGCTTACCCTCACGGGCGTGTTCTCGTTGTGTCCGGGCTGTCCGCCTTGAGAACCCGCGTCCCCCGAGAACACCGCGGGTCCCCACGTGGCATGGGATGGGCCCCGGATGCGTGTGTCTTCTTGACATCCGTGGGTGTCTGTGTGAGGCCAGCTTGAGACCTCGGGGTGGGCTGTCGTAGGGGTGCCCGCCCGCGTCTGCCCCGGAGGCTGCGTCCGGGTCACGGGCCTGGATACCCGCCCGCCGCGGTGACCGTGCAGGAGAGACGCTGGACTCACCCGATGTCTCAGAGAGAATTTGCCGACGGTTCTTAATTAAGCCCCGTGGAACCCAGCAAATGCCTGTGCTAATCAGCCGTGGGGAACTTTGCTGGTTTGGGGGGTGATCTTTTCTAAGCACGACGGTGACGCTCAATGCTAATTAATTTAATGTGCTAATGGCATCCGCTTCCTGTTTTAATTGGCATTTACCCCGTGAAGAATAGCCGGCGTGGTGGCGGTGGGCGGCTCTTTCGCAGGGCTTCTTCGATGTATTTGCAACCGAGCTGAATGCCAGCCTCTCCGTCTTCAGGACGAAGGGCCGTGCCCAGCCCCTGGAGAAGCTCTGGGCTAAGGGGCAGGTTAGGAGGATAAAGGAGCCGCCCCTGGCACGGCCGCGCTGCAGCAGGCCTACGCCCGGGAGTCTCGTGCCGCCCGGCGTGGGCACAGCCCCGGTAGGACGGGGCCCGGCTGGGTATGGCCGAGAACAGCCCTGCCGCTGCCTCCTCGCCCCGACTCCTCTCAACACGCTGTCGCTGGTGTGTGCGTAACGGGGTGTATGAGCACACCGCACACTGGGTGCTTGACGTGAGCCCACGTCGGAGCCGCGTCCGGGTGGCGCCGGGAGCCCCACGGGTGCGGCCCCAGGAGAGCACCCGACTCCCGTCGGCGTGGGCCCGCGGCTGTGTCCGATCTCAACGGCCTCACACACGCCCTGCTGTCGGGCTTCGAGTGCGCGTGGCGTCGGGAGGCATCGCTGCCGCAGGCTCTTCCCTCTCGCTCGGCTGCGAACCCACTGTGAGCAGCTGCGCAGCCTGCCCGTTCTCCTGAGAAGCATTTGGGGGCTCCAGTCCCACTTCTAGAAGCGAGAGGAAGGCAGTCAGGCCGGGAGGGCCAGAGAGGCTCGGAGGCGGACAGCCGTGGAGCACCAGGCCGTCCCCAGCGGGCTTCCTGTTTCTCTTGGGGTTCGGGGGCGTGGGGGGTGAGCCAGCCTGGGCACCCCGCACCGCAGCCTCTCAGCCCCTCAGCGCCCCTCTCGGTCCCCAGGATAAGGTGAACTTCGCGCTGTGCTCGGGCCCTCGGCTCGAGGCGGCCCTGGCCTGCAAGGACCGGGAGATCCTGCGGCTGCTGAAGGACGTCCAGCTGCTCCAGAGCTCACTGCAGGAGCTGGAGGACTCATCCGCGAGCCAGATCGCTGACCTGGAGCGGCAGCTCACCGCCAAGTCCGAAGCCATCGAGGTGGGTGCGGAGGTAGCGGCGCCCGGGGCGGGGGCGGGAAGGCGAAGCCCAGCTCAGCCCCTCCGTGGCTCCTTCCAGAAGCTGGAGGAGAAACTCCAGGCGCAGTCTGACTACGAAGAGATTAAGACAGAGCTGAGGTAGGGTGCGGCCAGGGCCCCGCGTGTCCCCACCCGCCCTTCTCCCTGGCCGGGTCTTGGGAAGGCCGCAGGGCCCCTCGGCCAAGCCCCGCGTCCTGCCCACCCCCCACCCGTGTCTTGGTCTCCCCTCCGCTGGCACCAAGCTGGGTCTTGGCTGTCAGTGCCCAGTTGCCTCCTTGGTGCGCAACTGGGCAGGCGGTGGCTGGCGTTGATCCGGCCAGGGTGGCTGTGGGTCGCTCGGGACCCTCCGGGTAACACCCGCCGTTCCCACGCCCGCCGCCCACAGCCCCGTGTCGGGCCGACTCCAGGGTTCTGTCGGGTCCGGGCGCAGGACGGTGCGTGAGCAGGTGCAG